GTTTGTTTAGCTTCTATAATTGAAACTCTGTTGCCATCACTGGCACTCTAAGCTCTGAGGCCCCGGCTGGCTGAAAGCAGATATCTGGAGTTTGTTTAGCTTCTATAATTGCAACATTGTTGCTTCCAGAGCTCAGAGCTGGGCCAAGGCAGGCCAGGTGGGGAACCTTGGCTTCCTCCATCACTGGAGCAAGCAAGCCTCATGTTCGCTTCAGCTGCGTGGCTGCCGGCCGCCATCTTTGTTGGCAGTTAATTTGCATATCCTGCTGATTAGCCAATGGGAAGCATAGCGGAGGTATGGTTAATTACCATGTTTGTCTATTATTAGATAGGATGCTTATGTGTTCTTTGACTGGACCAATTCTGTGAAAACCATACACAGGTTAACTTTGGGGAAAACAAACCTAAAGATTTAGTAAGTGTATAGTAGAGAGAAATTGAATAATAGAAGTATAGTATCTAAAATTGGAGTCATTTAATTCTACCCATATACTTGATATTATATTCTGTCTTGAGTATGTACCATATTTTAAGAATACTAAGAAAGTAAAGGGACAGAAGAGGAAGTAAACTAGAAGGATCTGTGAATACTGTCACTTGAACTGTAGAAAAAATATATACTTTTGGTTTAATAACAAGAATTATGGGACAAATGATAAATGCTTTCAAATATTTTAAAGGTTATTATGTGAAAAATGGCATAGACCTGTATATGGTGATAGAGGACAAAAGCAGGAAGAATTTATGGAAGTTGCAAATAAAGATTTTGTGTAATATAGGAGGAAAATTACTAACAATTGGAGCCATTAACAGTGGAAAAGATTAGCCTGTGAGACAGCAAGCCCCATATACTGAAAAGTAAAAGTAGAGGTGGTATCAAGTCTGTTAAAAATATGTTTTTTGCATGGGATAGAAAGTTGGACCAGATGACCTCTAATAACCCTTTCAGCTCTTAAAAGAATGGTATTAGGACACACTGTAATTTGGAAAGGATTAATGGAGACACTGTCCCATGAATAATAAGGGATATTTTCAAATTTTTGAGACAATAAGAAAGAACAAATTAGGTATGGATAGAAAGAAGGTTTGCCCAACCAGATAGAAGGGAAATAATCAAGCTAGGATCTAGTGAATAAATTTAAATCTATATGAGATAACATTTAAGAGAGTATCCATCTGGACTTAACAGTCCATCTGAACTCCTCAGTAACCCTACTTTATAGCCACTGCTAGATTGAGTCAACAACACCTGTACTACTTACTGGCCCTTCTCTGATCCCAGTAATTTTTTTGTCTTTCAACTTTAACCTTAATACTCCTTTACTCACCTTTTTGTTTGTCTTTTCCAGTTTATAATGTAGTGGTCGTGTATTTATGGAGACTTCTTAAAATATGTCAGATGCCACCCTTTTAGAAATTACTAGGTTCTCTGTCACCTATTATTCTATCTAATAATAGAATGAAGGAGAGTATAAAGAAGAACATGATTACATGTCGTAATCCAGGATGTTGTAGAGTATTGAATACAGGAATGATGGTGTCATCTAGCTCATATAAAAGGAATTATAAAATCTGTTTACAATAACTTTTTGTAGGATGTGATACTAAAGCAAAGTAAAGCTGCTTTTCTTTTTAAAGTTATAATTTTCAGGTATTTTTTTATTTCGTTTTACTATAGCATCAAATTAGGCAAATTATATGAGTCTGACAAGCTTTTTTCTAATGGTCATACTCACTAGTGAATCTTAATATTCTCTAGATCACTGTGCCGAAATACCCATAGAAGCTCAACTGAAGAAGATGATTCATCTTCAGAAGAAGAAATGGAATGGAGTAATAACAGTTTGCTTCTAGCCAATCTTTCTATACCTCAGTTAGATGGAACTGCAGATGAAAATAGTGGTGAGTAAACAAGTCTACTATGAGCATTTCCTAGTTTAGGGACTAAAATAACATTTTATTTTAAAACTATAGTTACACTTTCTATATAGTTGGTTAAGTGAGGCTATAACAATAGTGTTTTGTCCTTCTCCAGAATTTTTTCTTTTGAGAATGTAGATAAATTATTCTGTCTCATTTTTAAGAGGATAACATTTGTTAATCATTGATTTGAAGATTCACAAACTTTAATCAGTTTGTCATGTTAACATTTAAGTAGCATAAGAAACTAAGAAATATGTGCAGCTAATTTGAAGTGATAATGAAAAGAAGCATATTATTTTATGAAAACTTTTCAAGGTGACAAGTATTTTCCCCTTATTCCTCCAAAAGGCACTGAATAGTAATATAATCTATTTCTGATCAAAGGAACATGTGTTTAAAATAATGACTAATAATCAAATGTAACTAACTCTTGATTACTTAGATTGAGTTATTATCCTAATAATAGGAGTAATCTTTTTGTTGAGATAACCATATTAAACATACAAACTTAATTTCATATAATTTCTTTTTATGGTGATAGTATCATGGTATGGGAAAATATTTTAAAAGTTAAGAGTGAAAGTGAAATAAATTATTTTCCCCTCATTTCAGACAATCCATTGGACAATGAAAATTCTAGAACCCACTCTTCTGTGATTGCAACAAGCAAGCTCTCAGTAAAACCTTCCATCTTTCACAAAGATGCTGCTACATTAGAACCCTCATCTTCTGCTAAGATTACCTTTCAGTGTAAACACACAAGTGCCCTTTCTTCCCATGTTTTGAACAAGGAAGATTTAATTGAAGACTTTTCACAGCCAAACAATACAGAAAAAGGTCTAGATCATTCAGTTGCTTCTTTTACAAATGAAAGCACTTACTCTGTGAAATACCCTGGATCTTTAAGCAGTACTGCCCATTCAGAAAACTCTCAAAAAGAAAGTAGTAAGAAAGATATCCTTCCAGTATCTTCCTGTGAAAATAGTGTTTTTGATTATGATGAAGATATTCCATCTGTTACAAGACAAGTACCAAGTAGAAAGTATACAAACATTAGAAAAATCGATAAGGATGCCCCTTTTATACATATAAACCGTCACACTAGCGAAAATACATTGGGCAAAAATTCTTTCAACTTTTCTGACTTAAATCATTCAAAAAATAAATTATCTTCTGAAAGAAATGAAAAGGGAAATAGCACAGCTCTGAACAGTTTATTCCCTTCATCATTAACTGAAAATTGTGAATTGCTATCATGCTCAGAGGAGAATAAAACTATGGTACATTCTCTTGATAGCATTGCTGATGAAAGTGGACTCAATAAACTTAAAATTAGATATGAAGAATTTCAAGAACATAAAACAGAAAAGCCAAATCTCAGCCAGCAAGCAGCACATTACATGTTTTTTCCCAGTGTTGTTCTTTCTAATTGTCTCAGTAGACCACAGAAACTCTCTCCTGTCACATATAAACTACAACCCAGTAATAAACAGTCCCGGTTAAAAATGAATAAAAAGAAACTTGTAGGTCATCAAGAGACTTCTACCAAAACTAGTGAGACAGGATCAACAAAAGATAATTATATACAAAATAATTCTTGTAATAGTAATTCTGAGAAGAATAATGTATTGGCCAGTGATTTAACTAAAGTCACCCGTGGAGTTTTTGAAAATAAAACACCTACAGACAGTTTTATAGACTGTCACTTTGGAGATGGAACCTTAGAAACTGAGCAGTCCTTTGGATTGTATGGAAATAAATACACCCTTAGAGCCAAACGCAAGGTAAATTATGAGACTGAAGATAGTGAGTCAAGTTTTGTAACACACAACTCAAAAATTAGTCTACCTCATCCCATGGAAATTGGTGAAAGTTTAGATGGAACTCTCAAATCTCGAAAACGAAGAAAAATGTCTAAAAAGCTGCCCCCTGTTATTATAAAGTATATTATTATTAATAGATTTAGAGGGAGAAAAAATATGCTTGTGAAGCTAGGAAAAATAGACTCTAAAGAAAAACAGGTAATATTAACAGAGGAAAAAATGGAACTATATAAAAAGCTTGCACCTTTAAAGGATTTTTGGCCAAAAGTTCCTGATTCCCCTGCAACCAAATATCCCATTTATCCACCAACACCAAAGAAAAGTCACAGAAGAAAAACAAAACATAAATCTGCTAAGAAAAAAACTGGTAAGCAACAAAGGACAAATAGTGAAAATATAAAAAGAACTTTGTCTTTCCGGAAAAAGCGTTCACATGCTATTCTTTCTCCTCCCTCACCATCTTATAATGCTGAAACCGAAGACTGTGACTTAAATTATAGTGATGTTATGTCTAAATTAGGTTTTCTTTCTGAGAGAAGCACAAGTCCCATAAATTCTTCTCCACCTCGGTGCTGGTCTCCCACAGATCCAAGAGCTGAAGAAATTATAGCTGCTGCAGATAAAGAAGCAGTGCTTTTTAAGGGTCCTAATGTATATAATAGCAAGACTGTTAATTCTAGTATAGAAAAAAATAGTCGAGCAAGAACGCAGGTGAAGAAATCAAAAATAAAGCTTGTTAATCCCTCAGTAGTTACTAAGAAAAGGAACAAACGAAATCAAACAAATAAAATATTAGATGATGGGAAAAAGAAGCCGAGAACAAAACAGAAACAAAAAAATGAAAAAGGTACATCCAGAAAGCACATAACACTTAAAGATGAAAAACTAAAATCTCAATCTGGTACCGAAGTTACATTTGTGCTGAAACATCAGAATGTATCTGAGACCTCACAAAGTTCTAGTGATTCTCAACTACTTAATAAACAGAAAGATGTGTCAGTAATGGGCTCTGCTATAGATCATTCCTTTTCTGCTCCCCAAACCACTGGAATTCATGCACAACAGAATTTATCTGGCTGCTTTTCTTCTTTCTTAGAAAGCAAGAAGCCTGTAGATTTGCAAACATTCCCCAGTTCTCGAGATGATTTGCATCCTTCAGTTGTTTGTAATTCTTTGGGACCTGGAAACTCAAAAATTAATGTTCAAAGGCCTCATAATCAAAGTGCCATGTTTACTCTAAAGGAATCAACTCTGATCCAAAAAAATATATTTGACCTTTCAAACCATTTGTCTCAGGTTGCACAGAATACACAAATATCTTCGGGTATAATGTCCCCAAAGACAGAAGAGAATGCAAATACGCAAAAGAACTATTTGTCATCCTTTGGAAAATTAAATGAATATCGTAATTCCCTAGAATCAAAGCCAGACCAGGCATATGCCCCTAATTTTTTGCATTGCAAAGATAGTCAGCAGCAGCTTGTGTGCGTGGCAGAACAGTCAAAGCACAGCGAAACTTATTCTCCAGGAAATGCAGCATCAGAAGAAAGTCAAATGTCTAATTACTTTGTAACTTCCCTGAGAAGTCCAATCAAGCAAATAGCATGGGAACAAAAACAAAGGGGCTTTATTTTAGGTGTGTCAAATATTAAACCTGAGAGGGTAAAACAGAAATCATTGTCAGAAGCAGTTTCACAAACCAAAGCATTTTCTCAGTGTAAAAGTCAAAATGTGTCAGCACCTTCAGCATTTGGTGAAGGACAGTCCGGACTGGCAGTTCTGAAAGAATTGTTACAGAAAAGACAGCAGAAAGCACAAAATGCAAATATTATGCAAGATCCATTATCTAATAACCATCAAACAAACAACAATATTTCCATTCCCCTTGAGCATAACAAAACAACTAAACGAACACGATCCGTAACATCTCCAAGAAAACCTCGAACTCCCAGAAGTACAAAACCTAAAGACAAAATCCCCAAACGTCTCAAAGTAGACGCCATAAATTTACAAAACTCTGGCCAGTTGGATAACTCCCTGTCGGATGATAGTCCCATCTTTTCTTCAGATCCAGGTTTTGAAAGTTGTTACTCACTTGAAGATAGCTTGTCTCCTGAACATAATTATAATTTTGATATTAATACAATTGGTCAGACTGGATTTTGTAGCTTTTATTCTGGGAGTCAGTTTGTCCCCGCTGATCAGAATTTGCCTCAGAAGTTCCTAAGTGATGCAGTTCAGGATCTTTTCCCAGGACAAACTATAGAAAAAGCTGAGTTTTTAAATCATGATAACAAGAAGTGTGATGAAGACAAACATCATGCTTCAGACTCATCTTTGTGGATTAGATCTGCTACTCTAAGTCCTGAACTATTTGATAAATCATCCATAGAGAGCAATGAGAATCATCGCCACAACCAGTGGAAAAATAGCTTCCATCCTCTAACAACTCGGTCTAATTCAATAATGGATTCTTTCTGTGTCCAGCAGGCAGAGGACTGTCTAAATGAAAAATCCAGACTGAATAGGAGTTCAGTAAGCAAAGAAGTGTTTTTTAGCCTCTCACAGCCTGGCAGTTCAGATTGGATTCAAGGTCATACCAGAAAAGAAATGGGACAATCTCTTGACTCAGTCAATGCCTCTTTCACTACAATACTATCCTCCCCTGATGGTGAACTTGTCGATGCAGCCTCTGTGGATTTAGATTTGTATGTTTCAAGAAATAATGATATATTGACACCAACTCCTGATAGTTCACCAAGGTCTGCCAGCTCTCCCTCACAATCTAAAAATGGCAATTTCACCCCTCGAACTGCTCACATTCTGAAACCACTTATGTCCCCTCCAAGTAGGGAAGAAATTATGGCCACTTTGTTGGATCATGACCTTTCAGAAACTATTTACCAGGAACCATTTTGCAGTAATCCTTCTGATGTACCAGAAAAGCCCAGGTAATCATTATTATATTTTCTCCTTGGGTCTCTCTGAATAATTATTACGTATATAACATTTGGTTCCTTACTGCTAGTTTTCTGACTGATGCTGTATTTGTAAGTAGTATATCATTATGAAAACTATTTATAATTTGGACTTGTTATGAAAATTCACAGAATAGCTGAATGCTTACACCTGGAGAAATTTCTTTAAGCTGATGAGTGTTGGTTTTGGATCTACTGTAATTTAACACTGTCTCCATTAAGGATTAGAGATGCAAAGACTGGCTCTCTGTGATAATGATGCCCCATTAAGAAGTACTTTAAAAGTATTATTTTTAAAATGGTGTTTATTTCTAAAATGGTAAACTCATCATTTTTTAAAAGAACTTTATATTTTAAAGTGTTTGAAAGTGAGCATAGATATATTTTAAGTACTCCTATGATATATCTCTAAGTGAAGATTAAGTTGTTTCTATGATATATATACCACCCTCTTGTTGCCAATATCTTTAGTCATCTTGTTACTATTGTTAGTTTGTACAGTTATTAAGGGTGCAGGATGGAATTAACACTCCATTATCTCTTCTTTCTTTTAAGAATCCTTTCAGAGAAGTGATAACAGATATACATACACACAGCTAATAGCAAAATAGGCTGGAATCACAATACTGGTTTACTTACAAACTAGTAGTTAAGTTGGTATCCTATACCACCTGTATCACTGAGGTTGAGCATTTCTAATAAGAGCTAAGTTGGGGAACATGACTTCATTCAGGTTTAAATTATGTTTTCTTATCCTGCCTTGTGTCTATGATCCCATTTACCTAACCAGTTTCAGAGAGAGAGAGAGAGAGAGAAGCAATTTACTTCAGCCACCCAGTCAGAAGCAGGGGAGGTTGGCTAGAACTGCTGAGGCAGACCCTGCATAGTCTAAATTGTGGAAAGAGATGTGAAGAGCCAACTAAGGCAAGAGGCTACACTGTATATATACACTTTAGCAGCACCATGTTCCTGACCATAGGAAAAAACACAGTGAATGCCAGGCTTTTACCCAGCAGATTAGCAGTAATTCCTGCAGGAGTCCTTTAAGAAAGCGTTGAAAAAAAGTAATCAATAAATATAGGGTAGAAGTTCCCTTCACTTGATGGACAGAAATGTCCTCCCAACACACTGTGTTTTTGCCTTGCTTAATACTCCCTTGTGGTCTTTAATATATGAATGGGACTTTCTCTTTATTTCACTGCCAGAATGTATAAATGTCTGTTCCTTTGACATTTGTTTCCATTATTTGGGGAGCTTTGTCTTTAACAGTAGGCATGGCATATTTTTTAATTGAAGTCTTTTTTCTACCTCAGCCTTATACATCTTTTTAATTCTTAGTTAACGTACATGTGCTAGTCATTAACTCTGTATTGCTATATAGTTGTTATCTAACTTTGACATTTGTTATGCAGCAGAAATAGAAGGAAGACAGTCATTATTTTTGAAAAACAATTTTGTTTTTTTTAAATCTATGTATTTATTATAGAAAATTTAGGAAGTATAAAAGAAGACAAAAATTACACCATTATCTACCTGTAACAATCACTAATAATATCTTAATGGGTTTTCTTAGATTTTTTAAAAATGTATACAATTTTAATTTTATTTTTTTTATGAAATGTGATCTTACTGTAGTCACAATATTATATCCAGATTCATTCACTTAACATTATACATTAAAATTAACATAAACATTTTCTAAATTTATGAGTTTATCATTTTAATGGCTACATAATATTCTTTTATGTATATTATTGTACTGAGATGTTCTTTATTTTGCCACTATAGATAATTATGTGATTAATATCTTCTTCATAAAGCATTTCTTATGTTTTGGATTTTTTTCTCATAGCCCTAAAAGTAGGATTACTATAAAATTTAAGGCTCTTGATATATATTTTGACATGAGTTATAGCAGTTTCCATGCTGCTAACTATTCACGAAAGCTGAATTTACCATACTTCATCATTTAAAATTTTGGTTTCATTATGATTTCTGTATCAAAATATTGCAGTGGGTATGGTCTCATGGCATACATACTCATTTCCTTCAATAGCAATAATTCTTTTAATTTTTCATATAGCTGGGAATTGAGTACAGGGAAGGTGCTAGATTCTGGTTAAGTAGTATATCATTGTGAAAACTGTTCATAACTGTGACTCATTAAGAAAATTCACAGACTAGCTGAATGGTTGTACCTTGAATTAACTAGTAAGGGCCAAAATCTTTCCATTTAAAGGGGGAAAGGAACTGTGATAACCCTGATGCTTTTCCTTCAACTCCAAGTCAGAAAAAAAGAGACTCTAGTTCATTGAGTTTTGTCTAGAGCAGTGGTTCTCAACCTTTCTAATGCCGCGACCCTTTAATACAGTTCCTCATATTGTGGTGACCCCCAATTTCATTATTACAAATTGAACATAATTAAAGCATAGTGATTAATCACAAAAACAATATGTAATTATATATGTGTTTTCCAATGGTCTTAGGCGACCCCTGTGAAAGGGTCGTTCGACCCCCAAAGGGGTCGCGACCCACAGGTTGAGACCCGCTGGTCCAGAGAATGACCAGGACATTTGGGAAACCGTGCCCGAAGAGAAGTAATTGAAAAAACTAAAAACTGCCTTCTTACTCATGAAAGACATACCTCAAAAAATAGACTTCTTTTATGTTGCTACAGAAGGCAGAAATAGTACAAATGGATATGTTAAAGAAAGGGAGAGGTTTAGTTTTATAACTATTGAAAACTAAACTAAGCTGCTTTTTAATTAGTGGCTCCCGACATGCATATATATTAGAAGCATTTAAGCTATGCATACTGTGGGCTCTGCCAACTCCTAAGATTTTTGTTAGTGTTAAACCTTGCCATGTAAAGAGGAGGTGGAATTATGGTAATTTACCTCAATTATGAGTGATTTTTTTTTAAGTTTGAGGAAATTTGAGAGGGCAGATGGGCACAAAAATTTGTTTGAACTTACTGGCTCTGCTAAACCACTATAGATAATAGAGAATGTAGAAAGAGGCTATAAATAAAATCCAGGAATATAGTCTCTAATGACAAATTCTTCCATCGTTTTTATTTATATGTGGTAACGATGGGAAATTATTTAAAACTAGCGGCCTGGTGTACAAAATTCGTGCCCTGGGGGGTTCCCTGAGCCCAGCCTGCACCCTCTCCAATCGGGGATCCCTTGGGGGATGTTCGACTGCTGGACATCCCTCTCACAATCTGGGACCACTGGCTCCTAACGGCTCACCTGCCTGCCTGCCTGCCTGATTGCCCCTAACCCCTCTGGCTGCCTGCCTGATTGCCCCTAACCTCTCTGCCTACCTGTCTGATTCCACCTAACTGCCTCTGCCTGATTGCCCCTAACAACCTCTGCCTGCCTGCCTGATCACCTCTAACTGCTCCCCTACCGGCCTAATTGCCCCCAACTGCCCTCCCCTGCCGACCTGGTCACCCCCAACTGCTCTCCCCTGCCAGCCTGATCTCCCCTAACTGCCTCTGCCTCAGCTCCCACCACCATGGCTTTGTCCGGAAGGAATTCGGACATCCGGAAGATGGCCGGTTGACCTGACCTAATTAGCATATTACCCTTTTATTAGTATAGATAGATTATATAGAATAGGATTGCTTAAATGGGGGAGAAAGCCTTTTTCAGCAGTAGGAGATGCTCTTTGCAGACAAAAACACATAATCCCTATCTCTGGACTATGTGCACTATACTGCCAAACCGGTTATTAAAAAATTGAACCACTTTCTTACATCTTACACCAAACAGCTGTTGCCCTTAAAACCCCTCCTCAGCCCCCACCTTAGGTTCTGCCTTCACAGTTCACCCAGATTAGGTTCTGATTGGTCAGTTTCTATGCCAGTCAGCGTCAAAAGCTCTGCCTCCTAGGCAGCCATTAGCTCTTCTGGGAAATCCAGAATGGCCCCACTGACAGCTGTCTCTCTCTCTCCGGGCTTGATCCACAGCCTCCACAGCAGCTGTGGATCAGGCCCTCCTGCCTTTCTCTCTCTCTCTCCCGGCCTCACCAGCAGCCAAGGCAGCGCTGCGGCGGCTGCTGATCAGGACCTGCCTCTCTCTTTGGGCCTCTCTCTGGGCCTGATCTGCAGCTGCCACACCCACCTTGCCCCGCTCATCCCCCCCTCCCCCCACCGCCCAGCCCGCTTGCCACCAGCTTTGTGGGCCGCGGGGGAGGGACCAAGAGGTGCTCCATGCACTTCCTGGTGACCAGTCAGGTCATCCATCTGGTCATTTAGTTGTGACGGCCCTAGGCTATTAGTATAGATGAGTTAGAGGAAAGGAATCTGATGAGTTTGTGCCATCTCCTTGGAGAAAAGAAGACTTCGTGGGCACATACAACAACAACAAATGCTTTCTTTTTCTGATATTAATGATGATTTTTCCCAAGGAAATCAATTTAATAGTCCATATACTTGTGAGGAAAGCATATTGAGACTGCACAAAATATGTGTATGTAGGGCGGTATGGAAAGGGAAGAAAGAGATGGGATTTTTAAAAATATTTTTTAATTGATTTGAGATAGAGAGGAAGGGGGAGAGAGAGAGAGAGAGAGAGAGAGAGAGAGAGAGAGAGAGAGAGAGAGAAAGAGAGAAAGAGAAATCAATCAGCTGCTTCTTTCATCCACTCTGACTGGGAATCGAACTCACAACTTGGATATGTGCCCTGACTGGGAATGGAACTGGTACACGTACATTGCTCAACCAAATAGCCACACCAGCCAGGGTGAGATGGGCATTTTTTAGACTCCAAAAGGAACTTTAAAAATCTCTAGGAAAGGGAACTAAATATTTTGGTAATTGTTCTTTGAGACAAAATAGTTGTTCTAAAATATGTTATTTATAGGGAGATCGGCGGACGGCGTCTCATGGTAGAAACTCGACTTCCAAATGATCTAGCTGAGTTTGAGGGAGATTTTTCATTGGAAGGACTTCGTCTGTGGAAAACAGCATTCTCGGCAATGACTCAAAACCCAAGACCAGGGTCACCCTTTCGTAATGGCCAAGCATTTGTCAATAAAGGGTCAAGTAATAGCCATAAAATGGTGGAAGATAAAAAAATTGTGATTATGCCTTGTAAATGTGCCCCAAGTCGACAACTGGTTCAAGTATGGCTTCAAGCCAAAGAAGAATATGAACGTTCCAAGAAACTGTCTAAAACTGAGCCAGCTGGAGTTGTAAAATCTGCTGAGAACTTCAGCTCTTCAGTTAACCCAGATGACAAACCTGCAGTGCCTCCAAAAATGGATACAACTCCACATATACTCCCCACTACAGCACATACCAAGGAAGATGTTGATAATTTTCAGATTGCTTTACAAGTTTCAACCACAGGATGTAGTCAAACTGCAAGTGAAAGTCAGATGCTGCCCCCAGCTGTTTCTACAAATGATCCTGAGAAAGATGAAGATGATGATGATGACTATTATTCTAGTTATAGCTCCCCTGATTCTCCAGTAATTCCACCTTGGCAACAAGCAGTATCCCCAGATCCCAAAACACTGAATGGAGATGACCGACCCTTATCAGCAGTGGAGGAACTATGTTCCCTGGCTGTGGAGAACCTCTTAAAGCCAGTAAAAGATGGTATACAAAAAAGCCCCTGCAGTGAGCCTCGGGATCCTCTTATGATATCTCCAATCAATGTTAGGGCAAAAACTGGGATATGTGATTCACTTTGCCTTCATAGTACACCAATCATACAGAGAAAACTTCTGGAAAGACTTCCTGAAGCAACGGGCCTTAGCCCTTTATCAACAGGTAAGTTTCTAAATAACAGATTTTAATAGCTGTTCTTCAAAGATTAAAATGAAGACAATATTAGACTATGTTAATGAAAATGAGGGCTTTTTAAATGAAATTTTAGCTTGGATAATGAGAGTATTGTTATCTTATCATGTCTCAGAAAAACATCACGTGGAAACTTTTTTAGCTTTCTGCTATGAAATCTACATATGCCTTCATCCTATCTTCTCACTTCTGGGTGAACTATAGGAGCCCTCTAAGAAACCTCACCTTCTCAGCTTGATTTTTCCCATTGCCCATTTTTTCCATTCCCATTTTCCCTTTAATAATATACCCAAGTCTCTCTCCGAACTTTAAAATAGAAACAAAGCCAAACAACTGCTTTAACCTTAGATTCTCCTTCAAAGCCAAATTTTTTAGATTTCTTAAATGTAACAATTTCTTTACCTTGTACTCATTTCTCAACCTGCTCTACCTGGATTCTATCCCCATAATTTTACCAGTATGGCTCCTGCAAAGATTCTCAGTAACCTTTATATAGCTAAAGCCAATGGATGTTTTTCAGACTTCCTATCACATGCCCTATAAGCAGCCATTGTCATATTGACCATTCCTTCCTGGAGCTTTTTCTCCCCTTGGCTTTTCTTCCTACTCCTGTTTCTTCCTACTTGCTTTCCTTTGAAGTTAAACTCACATTCTCAGTTATTATCTAAATGTTGGGATTTATTAAGGCTTAGCCTTTAGCTTTCTTTACTCTTTACTTACTTTATATTCTCTCCCTATATTCTCTTCGTATGAGCAGGAATGTCTAATTCCTACTCATAGTATTACTGCAGATAATGCACAAGCTTAAATTTCCATTCAGAACTCTCTTTTAAGCTTCAGAACACTATATCCAACTGCCTATTTGGCATTTCTACTTGAATGCTCAAAGGCATCACAAGGTCAGTATTTTTTTAGTCAGTTCATGATCTCATTGCATGCATTCACTACCAAACACCTAACACACATGCCCACACACAGAAATCCACCTGGTCCTCTTTAAGTTTTCCTCATTTCAATGAATATCACTACCATCTCTGTTACTGAGTTACACAAGTCAGAAACATGGGATTTATTTGTTACGCCTTCCCGATCCTAATTCCCTCACTACCCAGCCTGTGGTTTCCAATCTATTACTACAAAGTCCTGTAATCTTTTAGTTTCCTAAATTACACATATCGCTCTACCACTACTGCTATCACTATAACCTTAGGCCAAACTGTTATCATTTCTCACCTGGTTTTCTACCCTAGCCTTCTTATCTACCCTTTGCAATTTCTCGGTCTTTTGCTCAGTAGTTGGAAAATCTCTACGCTGTTCCGTTAATAATCCCATCTTTCTGTTCCAGCTCAAAAAAGCCTTCCTAACCTCCTGACTATATAAAAATTCCCAATTGTATTCTCTTTTGTTGTATTTACCCCAGTTATAATTTTACCTTTCTATATGTATTTGGTGAATGCCTGATTCTCTCTAGACCCCATGAGGATATAGACTGTCTTTCCCTCATCATCATAAATCCTGGACAAATAAGTGAATGAATGAATTAAATGATTTCCTAAGATAATGAAGGAATAAAACAGTAATTAAAATGTAAATGTTTTTATTTAAAATACAAATTTTTTAAGTTATTTTGGTGGGGATCAGAAGACTGAATTGGTTTTGCCTAGAGAATTTACAGAATAATATTCACAAATGTTATTAAGAATTTAGAACAACAAAAAGTTTTTAAAAAATAGAAGCATATAGTTTTGATATAAATATTAAATATGAAATTTCTTTCTACAGAACCAAAAACTCAGAAATTGAGTCATAAGAAAGGAAGTAATACTGACACTCGTAGAAGAATATTCTTAACACAAGCAAAGGTAACTATGTTAAACATATTTAAAAATCAGTGGAAGATCCAGTCTTATTCTTAGATTTCAGTTAGATAATTGATAACTTTGTGTCTCAATTTTTTAAAAAATTTTATTATATTTTTGCATCATTTTATTTACATCTTTGAGACAACAAGAAATTGCCTAATTTTTTTTTTTAGTTTCTTTTTGTTGTTGGGATCTAAAAGATTCTTATATGTAAATACAAATATTACAGAGAAAGTGAATATGATAGCCAAAATGTGGATTATGAGGATACAAATACATTAACTGATTACTGGCAATATCAGAACAGTCCAATGACAGCAGAGCTCAAGTAAGTGATTTTTGATCCCACCAAAAATATATCCTTTTTCTTGGTTTATTACTTTTTTCTTAAATATAACATTATTAATTTTTTTCAGTTTATGTTACTAAATAACAAAGGAAAACATTATTTATTATTGAAATTCTGAAAAATCATAAATATCTTTATTCCAATACTAAAAATATGGTAAAACTTAAAATACATGGTTATGTGAAAAAAGTATACAGTACATATGTATCTTCAGAAATATATGATAGAAATCACTCCTGTATTATCCAATTGTCATAACTATCATGAATGACATAAGATATATTTTGGTGTTTCTATTTGGAGATTATAAACTTTTTAAAAAACTTTTCTTTTTAAAGCAGAATTGTTGAATTACAGGCTATTTATTTTAAAAACAAGTACCAGAGTATTGTGAATATAAATGGTTTATGGGTTTGGAAATCAGAAAACATATTTTTCAGAAAAAAGAAAGATTATATTATTTCTAAACCCATAAAGATTATTTATGTTTTAACTCATCTTTCAGACATATGTTATGTTAGGGTAAAATACAAATCCAAAATTTCAAATCTTATTATTAACTAGCCAGACTTGTTGCAAATACTTTGCTTGCTTGTCATATTTCCAGTAAGGGTGAAGATAAATGTCCATGTGGTATAAATGTCAAGTCTCTACAAGACTATTATTTTCAATATTTGAGGCTTGTAAATCAAAGAACAACATATGGTTTGCTTTCAGATTATATCAGATATTTCTACATATACCCAGTTCTGGTATTTTGAATTACTCGCATGAAAAGAATTTTAATAAAATACTTATGGTTTCTCTTTGGACTTAAAGAGATATTATTAGTTTATCATGTATTACAAAACACATAAAGCATATTATTTAAGTAGGAATAAGTAGTCAAAATAAAGAAAATGGTTGCTTATTTATTTTTTCTCTGGCTATGTGTTGTTGTTTTTTTTAATAGAATCAATTTGCAGCAGTAAATACCCCAAAGAAAGAAACTTCTCAGATCGATGGACCATCTTTAAACAACACTTACGGTTTTAAAGTCAGCATACAAAACTTACAGGAAGCAAAAGCTTTACATGAGGTAAAATTGCAACAGTAAGAACACATTCACTGTTTAACTCCTATGTTTTATGCTGTGGAACAAGTATGGAAATTTTTTATTGAGGAAGTAATACATTGAATTCTATACTTGTTAATCATTCTGTTCTTAAAATTCTTACTATTTCATGTATTCATACATTTATATGAAATAAGATAAACTTTTAAAGAGATCATTAGTTATTGAGACTGCTATGTGGTTTCACAACTTTCATAAATCTTATAGCTGAAATCCAGTTTATAGAAGCTAAAATTAGAAAATAGTTTTTTAACTACTAGAAAAAAATTTCTTATTCTGGATTGTTATATTAGGATGTTATATCACATTCGAAACATTTACTTGTGTTTTCTATTTGTTTGGCTCAGTGGATTAGTGCTTGCTACAATTCATTTGTTCACATAATCCCTATATAACCCAGTTACTTTCACTGCACAGGCCATATGCCAAAGACTAAGGGATTGTCTTTAAAATGTACATCAGTCATAGGATAGACTGGAGAATATGTGTGAGTCACTATAAATTTATCTCTTAGAGAAAGCACAACTCAAGAACATATATTTGCCCAGCCAGCCAGCATGGTTCAGTGGTTGAGTGTCGATCTATGAACCAGGAGTCACAGGTTCAATTCCCCGTGAGGTCACATGCCCAGGTAGCAGGCTTGATCCCCATGTGAGGCATGCAGGAGGCAGCCAATCGGTGTTTTCTGGACTCTCTCTCTCCCGCTCCCTTGCTCTCTGAAATAAAAAAATATATATATATTTTTAAAAACAACATATTTGACTGGCAGTAGGTGAAAATTAGAGTATATTTTTATTATTTATACATGTGCTATCAGTATGGTAGCCGCTAGCAATATGGCTATTGAGAACTTAACATTTGGCTTATATGTCAAGGTACTGAATTTTAACTAATTTAGGTTTAAAAACTGATACTTGACTCATTTATTAGAAAACTTTTAAGTATGTTTGGAACAACTTAGGAATGTAAAACTACTTTTTCAACTGTAAATTTTATGATACCTAAATACAGTTCAAGTATTTTCATAAAAAATTTAGTGTCCACATTGAAATTTGCTATAAATGCACACTAATTTTGAAGTCATAATAGAAAAAAAAATGTGAAATATCTCATTCATAACCGCTTATATTGATTTCATATTTTAAAAGGTAATATTTTAGATATATTGAATTAAATGAAAGTATTTCTAAATTAATTTAACCCATTTTTACTTTTTTCCAATGTAACTACTAGAAAGTGTAAAATTACATATTTGATTTTCATTGTATTTTTTTAATGGACAATGCTGGTTTATGTAGTTGTTTTATGTCTTTACCTTGAGAGCAGAGAATTGTTTTTTATTTTTGGGGGTTTTTTTGTTCTAAGGTCAATTCTATCTTAAACTGATCTAAGACTTGGATAAGCATAGACTTAAAAAAAAAAATTTAAACTTTGTCCTCATTTAACCCTAAATTTGAACTAAGAATTGTACATTTTTAGAATTAGATTAGAATATAGTCTAACTTTCTAAATATATATTTATACATTTTTTCATTCAACTTTACTTCCTGCTTTATACCTGGCCCTGTATTATCCCCTGAATCTCAGATAAATTAATTAATTAACTCAGGAATACATATTTTATCAAGTACATTCCCAAAATTAGAAAATTAAAATACTTTGTTAAAATGTATTTATTAGAGCAGATTTAATAGATCTTAGCAAAAGGATTTTTAAATTTGATTACTCTTTTATTATTTGAAAAACATACATTTTTTCTTATACTATTACTTTTCTCACATTACCCCATTTCAGAATCATGAGCCTTCTTAAAGTTGAAATCACTTGGGAGGTCTGGCAGGTTGCTCATAGCTTCTTCCCAACACAGGCTTTTTTAATCTCAAGGCACACTCCAAACAGCCACCTGGTGGTCAAATTAGGAATAAACCCAAAAATATCTGCGCTATGCTCTGTTCCTTTTTCTAGAAATTGTGCCCATGGCATTTTTCTTCTGTTTTCCATTACCATGAACTAATCTTTCCCTTCTGCATATACATTTTCAAACAGACAAAAAGGGTTGTAATCCTTGTCCCCCTTCTCATTTATCTCTTTCCTAGTTACACTAAGTAAATCTCTCAGTCTCTTCTTTCCATAGTTTTTTAATACACCTAAGATCATAATGCATTTTATATTAAGGAATCGAAATGCAACATTTGAATCTGAAATTTGGCCTGTTAAATAAATTAGACTCCTCCAAGACTCTTTTGACCTGAAATTTCTTTAGTCATCTTCATAACCTTTCCACATGTTGATTTTTTTCCTAATTAAACTGGATTTTTAGGTTTTGTTTTGTTTGGGTTTAAGGAGAGTTTTTCCATTTTACATTTTTGTATATACATGCTTATTGTTTTTTTTAAAAAATCAAGCAGTCCTGAAGAATATACACTTAAAAGTTCTTTCCCTGAGCTCCCCCTAATGGTTTGATTTTTTTCTAATCTTTGTTTTTTTTAAAATAGAAACAGCAACATATTTCTTAAGGACAGTGGTGGATTTGTAGATATTTGTTTTATTCCTTATATCTTATATGTGCATGATTAATGTTTTTTATATTTTAAAAAGTACTTATGAATTTACTAATAATTTACTAATGAATTCGTGTAGTATTACATGTACATGGGAAAAATTCCAATCCCTACAAAAAGATTTACAGTGAAAAAGTAAGCTTTCCTTTCTCCTCAGGCTAGCAATCTCCTTACAGACAATAAGCAGATCTATGTTTTTTATGTCTTTTTGCAGAGATTATGCATATGCTTAACCTTTTAAAATATATAGATACATATAGATATTTTATTTCAGAGAAAAAGGGAGAGGGAGAGAGAGAGATACATCAATGATGAGAGAGAATCATTGATCGGCTGCCTCCTGCATGCCCCCTACTGGAAATCGAGCTCGCAACCCAGAGCCCACAACCTGCAACCCGAAACCCAGGATGTATCCAGGCCCAGAATCGAGACGTGACCTCCAGGTTCATAGGTCGATGCTTAACCTTTCTCACACACATGCAGTATGAGCATACAACACTTACTGGTTCTATTTATCAATGTTTTATGGTGATCTTTCCATATTACAACATAATAGGTCTGGCTCATTCTTTTGAAAATTTTAAAGGTTACAGAATATTTCATTGTTTGTGGTCTTTATGGATGCCACATAATTTATGAAACCAGTCCTCAACTGATTTTCAGTCTTTTATTGTTTATAAAAGACTGAAAATATCACAATCTTCAGTGAACATTCTTGTGCATATAATTTGTCTAAATGTATGAGTATATCTGCAGGATCTATTTTCAGGAGTAGAATTGCTAGATCAAAGGTTATGTCCATTTTTAATTTTATAGGTATTTTTTAATTGTCCTTCAAAGGGATTTAACAAATTCTATTTCCATCACTAGTGAGAGCCTTGCATTTATATTTCTTCAACAGTTGGCATGCAAGCTAAATACAAAATACAAATCCTTTATTAAATATATAAGATTTGAATAATTGCCAATATTGGACCGTAGCCTACTATTTCCCATTGCCAGATATATGTACTTCGCTGGTATAATTATGGCTATAATTTCAGCTATAATCATATTTGTTTTTCTTACCCAGAGTTTTTACTTGCTGTGTCTTGATTTTAGAAAGAGAACTAAGGATTACAGTTAAGAAAAGTTTTTATTGGCATAGGAAAATAAGTTTTAAAAGAAAAATACTACATTAAAAATTTTTTTTAAATCTTTATTGTTGAAAGTATTACATATATACCCTTTTTCATCCATTGACCTCTTCTAGCCTGCCCCTGTCCTCATCCCCTACCCCAGGCCTCACCACCCTATTATCTGTGTCCATGGGTTATACAAGTTCTTTGGTTGATCTCTTCCCACCCACCCTCCATTGCCTTCCCTCTGAGATTCGACATTCTTGCATTATATGTCAGAGAAAATGTGCATGGGCAAAAATCTGGCTGTTGTGTAGTTGATACCATACAATTCTTATGATTTTTCTTTTCAGGAAAAACTATAACAGTCTGCCTAGTACATACAAAAGTCTAAATTTAAGTAGCCTCAAGTAGTAAAGAGTAAGTAGGAGCTTCAAATTTTAAAAATCTCTTTTTTTAGTTTGAACTGTAGGTAAAAATAGTTCATTATGTAGATAGTAAAAGGTAACAAACTTTTGAATATATAACTACTTGGACTAGTCATTCAAACAGAAATTAAGAAAATAATGTATTGACATTGAAAAATTATAAGTAAATTTTCTAAAATAAAAACATGAATTGATTTAATTTAATCTTAGAAGTGAAAATTTTTAGCTTTGATCTGTAGAGTATTAAACTGTTACTGTGTCCTTTGTGGCCATATTTTTCTGTAATTTTACATATGTATTTCCTTGGAGTCTTAGTGAAACATAGTTTTTTCAGCATGTCTTAAAAGGGTTTAAAAACATATTTTAATTTTCTTTTATAGATACAAAATCTTACCCTCATCAGTGTGGAGTTACATGCTCGAACTAGACGAGACTTAGAACCAGATCCTGAATTTGACCCAATCTGTGCTCTGTTCTACTGCATCTCATCTGATACTCCACTACCAAATACAGACAAAACAGAACTCACGGGTGTAATAGTGATTGATAAAGACAAGACAGTCTCCAGTCAAGGTAGTGTTCATTTTTATTAGTTTATACCTACGCGCCTGTCTGGAATTCTAAACCATGCCAGTATAAGGAACTTCTTTCTAAATTGCTGAGATGTAGGGATAAGAAGTGTTGTGTATAGCTTTGTCCTAGACTTACTATACTTACTCCAATAATTGTCAGAAGTCAGGAGCAATCCTATATAATAAAAGCCTAATATGCTAAGTGTCTGGTCATCCGTTCAACCAATCAAAGCATAATATGCTAATGATATGCTAAGGCCGCTCACTATGACGGGCACTGGCCACCAGGGGGCAGTCAACCAGTCACTATGACGTGCACTAACCACCAAGGGGCAGACGCTCCAATCAGTAGGTTAGCTTGCTGCTGAGGTCCAGTTGATCAGGACTGAGCAAGATGGGCGGGGCATGCCCTGTAGCCTTCCAGCAATCCCTCCCCGGCTTGCCAACTTCCCACGTCCCTCCCTGGCCCCGATTGTGCACTGGTGGGGTCCCTCAGCCAGGCCTGGGCCCTCTCGCAATCGAGGACCCCTCAGGGGATGTCGGAGAGCCAGTTTCGGCCCAGTCCCACAGGCCAGGCTGAGGGACCCCACTGGTGCACGAATTCGTGCACCAGCCCTCTAGTACAATATAAAGATCTTAATAAAATTTCCAAGTAGAATATATCATTTCTTCTAAATATTATTTTCTAAAATACTAATTGTTGATACTGAAATTAAATGATTATGTATCTTTAGGTTAGATAGACAGTCTTATATATGCAGTGCTGGTATTTTGTGGCTAATACAGAGCTTCTATTTGCTTTAAGAAGTTACAATTATCAGTTAATGATTTATAAGAGACTTTTAAGATACAATCTAATTTTGTTTATATCTCTTCCTAAATACATACACATTTGGTTCAGAGGTTGTTTATAGAGTATCTATACTAATAAAAGAGTAATATGCTAATTAGACTGGGAGACCTTCCAGATGTTCTTCCAGACAAAGCCATGGGCTTGGTCGGCCTGCAAACTGCCCCCAAACGGCCCTCGGCCCCTCACCCAGGCCGGCCACACCCCTCCAGCAGGGACCCTCATCCTGATGGGGGCATGGCCAGCCTGTAAATGGCCCTCAGCCCCTTGCCCAGGCTGGCCCTGTCCCCCAGCAGTGACCACCACCCCGATGGGGGCGTGGCCAGCCTACAAACCGCCCCAGCATCCCTCGCCCAGGCTGGCACCGCCCCCAATGGGGACTCCCACCCCGATGGGGGCGTGGCCGGCCTGCAAACCCCTGGCCCCGCCCCCAAGGCAACCCCCACCCTGATCCAGGATCCCCTTCAGGGCAGACCAGCCAGCTCCCACCCATGCACCAGGCCTCTATACTAATAAAAGGGTAATATGCTGATTAGACCGGACGTCCTTCTGGACAAAGCCATGGTGGCAGGGCCAAGGCGAAGGTGGTTAGGGGCGATTAGGTCAGAAG